TTTCGGGTTGACCTGCAAGACGTTCCTCGAGGCGGTGACAATGGCGACGACGGCGACGGCGACGGCGGCGAACCCTGAGCAGAAGAAGAAGGTTGCTCTGAAGACGGACCTGAAGGACGACAAGTTGATCGAGCAGATGCCTTGCTTCAGTTTGGGTTGGCTCCAGTGGGCGTTTCAGTCGTTCAAAAGGAAGAAGGGAGCGGCGAAAGAGTTGAGAGATGGCAGGTACTACGACCACTTGTACGACTGTGACCTGATGTACCTCGCCGCTTTCCAGGGCAGCAAGAAGGTGATGGAGTGGTTGGTGAGCCAAGGGATCTGCTTGGATATCGGAGACTGGAAGAGTGTGGAAGCTGCTGCTAGCGGCGGTCACATTCATGTGCTGAAGTGGTTGGGGAGCGAGGGATGCCTTTGAATATCAAGCGCAAGAACCGCCATGGAGTGGGAGCATCTCAAGGAGCTGCAGCCAGGGGAGGTCACCTTGATGTGCTGGAATGGTTGAGGAGCGAGGGGTGCGAGTTTGATGCGTGGACTTGTGAAGGGGCAGCCAGGGGAGGTCACCTTGATGTGCTGGAATGGTTGAGGAGCCAGGATCCGCCTTGTGATTGGGGCGAGAGGATTGCAGAAGAGAGGCGAAGTACTACAATCACCAGCGCGTCATCGCTGATGGATCAATGCCAATATTTAACCAAGAACAATGTCTCACGACGAACCTGTCATCGACCTTCGCTTCCTCTTCTGATTCCTCCTCCTCCTTTCTCCTTTGCTCTTTCTCTTCCGGTGGATTTTCTCCCTTCCGCTGAACCATCAAAACGGCCCGAGGCCACGAGGGGCCGAACGAGGACGAGCACGAGAGAGAAACGAAGAGGACGGGAGCGCGTGGAGGAGGAAGAGAGAGAGAGAAGCGGAAGACAGGAAAGAAGGAAGCGTTGTCTCGTGCTCTTTCGAACGAGCTCTCGCGCGAAAGAAACGACCCAGTGGTGAGGATCTGGCGACACGAAACACGAAAAAGAGAGGCAGAAAGAAATCGAGGAGTAGATCACCGAGGAAGGGAGGCGACGACGAGGGCGGGATTTTGTGCCGGAGGTTTCTCTCGAGTGATAGACGAGCGGAAGGAGTGTCTCTTGCTCTTTCGAGCGAGCCCTCGCGCGACAAGAACGACCCATTGGTGAGGATCATCTGAGGTGCACGGACGTGAAGATGGAGGAGACGATGGAGAGCAAGAGGCAGAGGAGGGAGGGCAGGGATGCACTGGACGTGCTGCCGGGGGTACTGTGGAGCGTCATTGGCAAGCATGTGGCCGACTACGACCGGGTCGCTTTCGGGTTGACCTGCAAGATGTTCTTCGAGGCGGTGACAACGGCGAACCCTGATCCGAAGAAGAAGGTTGCTCTGAAGACGGACCTGACGGACGACAAGTTGTTCGAGCAGATGCCTCGCTTCAGTTTGGGTTGGTTCCAGTGGGTGCTTCGGTCGTTCAAAAGGAGGAAGGGAGGGCCGATAGAGTTGAGAGAGGGCGAGTACGACGACCACTTGTACGACTCTGACCTGATGTTTCTCGCCGCTTTCCAGGGCAGCAAGAAGGTGATGGAGTGGTTGGTGAGCCAAGGGATCCCTTTGAATATCGATCGCGAGGATCATGAAGTGGTAGCAGCTACAGGAGCTGCTGCAGGAGGTCACATTGAGTTGCTGGAATGGTTGAGGAGCGAGGGGTACGGGTTTAATGTGTGGACCTGTTCTTATGCAGCTCGGGGAGGTCACCTTGACGTTCTGAAGTGGCTCCGAAGCCAGGACCCGCCTTGTGATTGGGACGAGTTGACTTGTGATTGGGCAGCTCGAGGAGGTCACCTTGATGTTCTGCAGTGGCTTCGAAGCCAGGACCCGCCTTGCGATTGGAACTACGAGACTTGTAAAGAGGCAGCTTCAAGAGGTCATCTTCACATTCTGCAGTGGGCTCGAAGCCAGGACCCGCCTTGCCCTTGGGACGAGGAGACTTGTTATGAGGCAGCTGCAGGAGGTCACCTTGATGTTCTGAAGTGGGCTCGAAGTCAGGACCCGCCTTGTGATTGGGACGAGTTGACTTGTGATTGGGCAGCTAAAGGAGGTCACCTTCACGTTCTGCAGTGGGCTCGAAGCCAGGACCCGCCTTGTGATTGGGGCTGGGCGACTTGTAAATGGGCAGCTCGAGGAGGTCACCTTGACGTTCTGCAGTGGCTCCGAAGCCAGGATCCGCCTTGCCCTTGGGACCAGCAGACTTGTGGTGATGCAGCTCTAGAAGGTCACCTTGAGGTTCTGCAGTGGCTTCGAAGCCAGGATCCACCTTGCCCTTGGGACGCGGGGACTTGTGGGATGGCAGCTATGAGAGGTCACCTTGAGGTTCTGCAGTGGCTTCGAAGCCAGGACCCGCCTTGCGATTGGGACTCGAGGACTTGTTATGAGGCAGCTGGAGGAGGTCACCTTGATGTTCTGAAGTGGGCTCGAAGCCAGGATCCGCCTTGTGATTGGAACGCGGGGACTTGTTGGTACGCAGCTCGAGGAGGTCACCTTGATGTCCTGCAGTGGGTTCGAAGCCAGGACCCGCCTTGCCCTTGGAACAAGTATACTTGTTCTGCTGCAGCTGAAAGAGGTCACCTTGACATGCTGCAGTGGGCTCGAAGCCAGGATCCGCCTTGTGATTGGAACCCAGCGGATTGCAGAAGAGAGGCGAAGTACTACAATCGCCAGCACGTCATCGAATGGATCGATGCCAATTCGTAACCAAGAACAATGTCTCACGACGAACCTGTCATCGACCTTCGCTTCCTCTTCTGATTCCTCCTCCTCCTTTCTCCTTTGCTCTTTCTCTTCCGGTGGATTTTCTCCCTTCCGCTGAACCATCAAAACGGCCCGAGGCCACGAGGGGCCGAACGAGGACGAGCACGAGAGAGAAACGAAGAGGACGGGAGCGCGTGGAGGAGGAAGAGAGAGAGAGAGAAGCGGAAGACAGGAAAGAAGGAAGCGTTGTCTCGTGCTCTTTCGAACGAGCTCTCGCGCGAAAGAAACGACCCAGTGGTGAGGATCTGGCGACACGAAACACGAAAAAGAGAGGCAGAAAGAAATCGAGGAGTAGATCACCGAGGAAGGGAGGCGACGACGAGGGCGGGATTTTGTGCCGGAGGTTTCTCTCGAGTGATAGACGAGCGGAAGGAGTGTCTCTTGCTCTTTCGAGCGAGCCCTCGCGCGACAAGAACGACCCATTGGTGAGGATCATCTGAGGTGCACGGACGTGAAGATGGAGGAGACGATGGAGAGCAAGAGGCAGAGGAGGGAGGGCAGGGATGCACTGGACGTGCTGCCGGGGGTACTGTGGAGCGTCATTGGCACGCATGTGGCCGACTACGACCGGGTCGCTTTCGGGTTGACCTGCAAGATGTTCTTCGAGGCGGTGACAACGGCGAACCCTGATCCGAAGAAGAAGGTTGCTCTGAAGACGGACCTGACGGACGACAAGTTGTTCGAGCAGATGCCTCGCTTCAGTTTGGGTTGGTTCCAGTGGGTGCTTCGGTCGTTCAAAAGGAGGAAGGGAGGGCCGATAGAGTTGAGAGAGGGCGAGTACGACGACCACTTGTACGACTCTGACCTGATGTTTCTCGCCGCTTTCCAGGGCAGCAAGAAGGTGATGGAGTGGTTGGTGAGCCAAGGGATCCCTTTGAATATCGATCGCGAGGATCATGAAGTGGTAGCAGCTACAGGAGCTGCTGCAGGAGGTCACATTGAGTTGCTGGAATGGTTGAGGAGCGAGGGGTACGGGTTTAATGTGTGGACCTGTTCTTATGCAGCTCGGGGAGGTCACCTTGACGTTCTGAAGTGGCTCCGAAGCCAGGACCCGCCTTGTGATTGGGACGAGTTGACTTGTGATTGGGCAGCTCGAGGAGGTCACCTTGATGTTCTGCAGTGGCTTCGAAGCCAGGACCCGCCTTGCGATTGGAACTACGAGACTTGTAAAGAGGCAGCTTCAAGAGGTCATCTTCACATTCTGCAGTGGGCTCGAAGCCAGGACCCGACTTGCCCTTGGGACGAGGAGACTTGTTATGAGGCAGCTGCAGGAGGTCACCTTGATGTTCTGAAGTGGGCTCGAAGTCAGGACCCGCCTTGTGATTGGGACGAGTTGACTTGTGATTGGGCAGCTAAAGGAGGTCACCTTCACGTTCTGCAGTGGGCTCGAAGCCAGGACCCGCCTTGTGATTGGGGCTGGGCGACTTGTAAATGGGCAGCTCGAGGAGGTCACCTTGACGTTCTGCAGTGGCTCCGAAGCCAGGATCCGCCTTGCCCTTGGGACCAGCAGACTTGTGGTGATGCAGCTCTAGAAGGTCACCTTGAGGTTCTGCAGTGGCTTCGAAGCCAGGATCCACCTTGCCCTTGGGACGCGGGGACTTGTGGGATGGCAGCTATGAGAGGTCACCTTGAGGTTCTGCAGTGGCTTCGAAGCCAGGACCCGCCTTGCGATTGGGACTCGAGGACTTGTTATGAGGCAGCTGGAGGAGGTCACCTTGATGTTCTGAAGTGGGCTCGAAGCCAGGATCCGCCTTGTGATTGGAACGCGGGGACTTGTTGGTACGCAGCTCGAGGAGGTCACCTTGATGTCCTGCAGTGGGTTCGAAGCCAGGACCCGCCTTGCCCTTGGAACAAGTATACTTGTGATGGGGCAGCTCGAAGAGGTCACCTTGAGGTTCTGCAGTGGGCTCGAAGCCAGGATCCGCCTTGTGATTGGAACCCAGAGGATTGCAGAAGAGAGGCGAAGTACTACAATCACCAGCACGTCGTCGATTGGATGAAGGCTAATTCGTAACCAAGAACAATGTCTCACGACGAACCTGTCATCGACCTTCGCTTCCTCTTCTGATTCCTCCTCCTCTTCTCGACCGACCCTGATTAACGTCTCTCACAGAATCTTTTCTCTCCCCGAGTAAAAGTAAAGGTAGGTAGCTCGGTTTGTTTGCTACCGATTCCATGCCTGGAACCGCACACTGAAGGATTCGAACCTTCGCTCCCAGAGGGAATTCACTGTCGTCACTACTACTGCTAGCAGGCGAACGCCTTAACCACTCGGCCAAATGTGCCTTGTTCACTCTCGCGACGTCGCTACACATTGCGAGAATTCTACGTGTTCGGAAATCGGAGTTTCTGTCCCTATATACCGCTGCGCCCCCCTTTTCGGTCGTCTGGCGGCTTGCCCGCGCCCTCCTCAAACCCTCGTCCCTCCCCCACAAACTCCACACACGATGGCGGACACCTTGAAGAAACCTAGCGACCTTTCGATTAAGGCGCCTTCCCAGAAGAAGGACGTCACCCTCGACCTCACAAAGAAGGTGAGGACGAGACCCCGCCCTGGCCTCCGCTCGTGCACGCGCTTGCCGCTGACACCGCTCTCTGATTCTCTCTGATTCTCTAGCACCCGCTCGAGCACTCGTGGACGTTCTGGTTCGACAACCCGAACGGGAAGCAGAAGCAGACGACCTGGGGCCAGACCTTGCGGAGCGTGTACACCTTCAAGACCATCGAAGACTTCTGGTGCTTGTACAACAACGTCGTCCCACCCTCGAGACTCGTCACGGGTGCTGACCTCCACGTCTTTAAGGAGGGCATCGAGCCAAAGGTAAGTGCCGTCCTCCTCGTCGTCGTCATCGCCCTCCTCGTCGTCGTTGTCGTCGCTGACTCCTCAAAAACTTTGATTGCATTGCTTTTCTTCATCCCTGTTGAATCACACGCGCACACGCACACAACAACAACAACCAAAAACTAGTGGGAGGACCCCATGTGCGCGAACGGTGGCAAGTGGACCGTGACGTACTCCAAGGCGACGAGCAAGAGCAACACGGACGCGTCCTGGCTGAACTTGCTTCTCGCCATGATTGGGGAGCAGTTCGCGGAGAGCGACGAGATCTGCGGCGCCGTGGTCTCGGTGAGGAACAGGGGAGACAGAATCGCCCTGTGGACCAAGACCGCCTCCAACGAGGCCGGGCAGATCTCCATCGGGAAGGCCCTCAAGCAGTTCGTGGACTTGCCTGAGACCACCAGCATCGGCTACCTCACTCACGCCGACGCCAAGAGGCTGGACAAGAAGGCCAAGGACAGGTACGTCCTCTAGAGGAGGAGGAGGAGGAGACGGAGGGAGAGAGAGAGAGAGGGAGAAAGAGGAGTCTAGCGACGACTCGCTCGCTCGCTTAAACATCATTTCGACGAACACGGCTTAAATATCATAAATGAATGGCATTTGTACACCCCTCCACACCCAAAAATAAAAAAAAATGGTCTGGGTCTGGTCCTTCCCTCCTCTTCTCTTCCCTCCTTCCTCTCTTTGGACGGACTTCTGCTCCTCTACTAATACACGCGGTCCCTAACCTCCAGCCTGTTGATGTTCTTGAAGACCCTCGACGTGGCGTAGGGAAGCCAGTTGGTGGGCAGGTCGTTCAGCCTGTCCACGGCTTCCTCGGTCCTGGCGAACCCGAGCCACTTGTCCTCGTACTTGTAGACCTCGTCGGGGCCCTGGTACCTCCGCAGCATCGAGACGAACCTCACGCCGGCCCCACCGCTCGCGACGATGGTGGACTTGAGCTCCTCGAGCAGTTCCCTCATTCGCTTCTGGTTCTTCCTCTCCAGGGAAGCGAGAAAGTACAGGGGGAGTCCGCAGAGGCAGCACGAACCGAGCAGCGCCATGGAGCGAAGCGTGAGGTCCCTCTCCTTCACCTTCTCCATCCTCCTGAGTATGGGACCCACCGCCTCCCGGCTGATCCACGCGGGAGCTGCCCCGGACAAGCTGAGAAGATCGATCGCGGAGTCAAGTCAAGTCAGTCAGTCAGCAAACGACGATGATAGGGGGGTTGGCCAGAGAAAACCGAACAACACCCACCTGAGCTTGCACCCGCCGGGGATAAAGTGCAAGACGAAGGGTACCCAGTGCACGTTCTCGATCTCAGGAGGCGCACTGTCGTGGGAGTCCTGCCCAAACGTCGCGTCAAACAGGGACATGGCTTGCCCCCACCCACCCCAAAACCAATCAACCAGCTAATCTACCAACCTCCATACATACAACCATCATCAGGATTCAACTCTCTCAATGGGATTCAACTCTCTCAACAACGACACTGGTTCTCTCTATCCTGCTCCCTTTCCCTTCCTTCCAGCACCACCAACCCTGCACCTCTCCTCAGGCTCGCTCCTTTCCTTGGGATCCCTGCACCACGAGGAAGAGGTGTCACCACGTGTGTGTGTGTGTGCGCGCGCGCGCGCGCGCGCGTGTGTGTGTGTGTGTGTGTGTGTGTGCCTGCGTGTCCTCGTCCTCCTTCCTCCTTCCTCCTCTCCTCGGCCTGTCCCTTGCTAAAGCCAAGAGATTCTCTCCTCCTCGTCCTCCTCGGCTCGGTCCTTTCCATGGGATCAATGCACCAGGAGGAGACACAATCGAGGCACAATGGATTCTCTATTTCATTCAGGGAAGAAGAATTCGGTCATCTTGGTATCATCTTGTTGTCATCTTGTTGTCATCTTGTTGTCGTCTTGCTGTCATCTTGTTGTCATCTTGCTGTCATCTTGCTGTCACCTTGTTGTCACCTTGTTGTCGTCTTGGTATCATCTTAGGGTATCACCTTGTTGTCGTCTTGGTATCACCTTGGTATCATCTTTGATGCTTGTTAATAATAGAACAAGCAAGACAAGGCCCACCACCAGAGAGAGAGAGAGAGAGAGAGAGAGAGAGAGAGAAAACAGACAAAAAAAAACAGACAAAACAGACACACACACACGAAACGGACTAAAAGAATAAATAAAAATGTTCTTCTTACTTTTCTCCTTCCCCTCCTTCCTCCGAAGAACACCCCCCACCCCCCACCTCCTCCTCCTCCTCCCTACTGTTTCTATTCATCACCAGTACTTCATGGCCTGGAACTCCATCTCGAGACTCACGTCGTCCAGCATGGGGGCCTCCATCATGTCCTTGAGCAGGTTCGCGGCGTCGTCCTCCCCCTTGAGGAGCCTGTTCGCCATGAACATGATCGGAGTGGGGATCCTGTACCTGGTGGCGAGCTTGACGGCGGCCGGGGTCGTGGCCACGCCCTCCGCGACGCCCTGCAGGCTCTCCGCCCTCTCCTTGAGGACCTGCTCCAGGTTCTTCCCCCTGCCGAGCTCGATGCCGACGCGCTTGTTCCTGGACAGGCCACCGAGGCAAGTCAGCATGAGGTCCCCGATCCCCGCAAGGCCGTTCATCGTGTGCTCCTGGCCCCCCATGGCCACCGCCAGCCTGTTCATCTCCCGGCACCCCCTCGTTACCAGGAGGGCGACGGCGTTGATGCCGAGGCCGAGGCCCTCCGCGACGCCGGCGAGGATGGCGATCACGTTCTTCAGGGCCCCCCCGACCTGGACCCCGATGACGTCCTCGCTGGGGTACACCCTCATGGTCGGGCCGCTGAAGAGGTGGGCGAGCTTCTGGCTCATCATGATGTCCTCCGAGGCCAGCACCGCCCCGCTCGGCGTGTTCGCCATGATGTCCTGGGCGAAGGTCGGTCCGGAGAGGAAGGCCACCGGTTGGGGGCGCCCGAGGGCGTTCGGGATGATCTCGTGCATCATCTCCAGGGTCTCCGTGTGGAGGCCCTTGGACGTCGACACGATCGGGACCCCGGGCTCGATCTTGTCCTTCATGCTCTCCAGGAAGGACTTGGTGGACTGGAGAGGGATGCAGTGCACGATGAAGGAGGTCCCCCGGAGCGCCTCGACCGCGTCCGTAGTCGCCTTCAGGTTCTCAGGCAGGAGGAACTCCTTGAGGTGGGTCGGGTTCCTCCGGTCCTTGTTGATCCCTTCGGCGACTTCCTCGCGGCGCGTCAGCACCACGACGTCGAACCCGTTCCTCGCCACCAGGGTCGCCATGGCCATCCCGAAGGACCCGCTCCCGAACACCGTCACCTTCATCTCCGCGCTCTCCTGGTGCGCCCCAAGCAAGTTCGTCATCGATGACGAGCTCTTCATCCTCTTCATCTCTCCGAGATCTGTCAGGCTCAAGGCAGAACGAACGAACGAACGAACGAACGAACGAACGAACGACTTCTCTCCAAACACAAACAATACAACGGACCTCCCACCCAACCCCAGGGCGAGGGAGGGGGGGGGTTGGTGTTGGGGGTGGGGAGGAGGTGTTGTCGATGGCGTCGAGCGAGGAAAAGGTGTACATAGGGCACCCGAGCGGGGCTCGGGCGTGCATCGAGCTCCACGGGGCTCACCTGACGTCGTGGAAGACGGCGAACGGGCAGGAGCAGGTATTTGTGTCGAAGCAGGCGGTGTTCAAGCCCCCGAAAGCGATTCGGGGCGGGGTCCCGATATGCTTCCCGCAGTTCAGCGACTTTGGGAACCTGAAGACGAGCCACGGGTTCGCGAGGAACACCCGGTGGAAGCTGTTCGAGAGGGAGGGGGACACGGTGGTGCTCAAGCTGAACAGCTCGGACGACGACTTTTTGGACAAGTACGGGTGCGAGGACAGCTTCACCATCAACGTGAGGTACACGATAACCAACACGCAGCTGTTCACCAAGCTCATGGTGACGAACACGGGGTGCGAGGAGATGGTGTACACGGTCGCCCTCCACACGTACTTCCCGGTGGAGGACATCACAAAGGCGAGGGTGGAGGGCCTGTACCGGGTGGGTTACCTGGACAGCCTTGACGGGAGGCTGATGAAGACGGAGGAGAACCCTCTAGTTCGCGCTGCTTCTTCTTCTGGTGTGATCCAATCAGGCTCACACGTACCTTGCATCGAAATCAGTTTTGTCCATCAAGAACACAATTTCGTGAGCTTATTGGTCGACTTCGCCTTATATACCCCCTGGATAAGAGGCTCACGAGAAAGAGCCGATGTGATTATTTTCAGAAAAAAATGAAACACGAAAACTCACACGAGAGTGCCTCTCGAACGAAACTAGTTTCACGGATGATATGATAGGCCTTATCGTGTGAGTTTCATTGTTTTTTCTATTTTTCACAGCTTCCACCAGGCTCTCTCTTGTGATTTTAATTAATCCCAGTGGGGTATATAAGGCGAAGTCGACCAACAGAGGGCCTCACTTTTACGAACACGAGC